GGGAGGAGATGTTGAATGTCAAAGTGCTGAGGCAGTTCGGTTCTTGTGCATAACCAGAACACTCACCTCAATGTAAAAAGTAGGAAGATTCCCTGCATGTGGTAGGACAGATCTGTTTGGAGAGATCCTGACCCCAAACTACACTGCAGTCCAGTGACTGAAATGATCCCCCAGGAAATGGAAGGCCCATCTCAAGCAAAGCAAAGACCCATATCATGTACTACTACTACCATTGCCACTGAATTAGGCAGCACTCATTTCCTTTGACAGAAATTTCCCGTGCTGAAATGAAAATATGTCAGTTTGAAAACATTGAAATGAATCAGTTTGGCTTTGAGTTTTTTCCTTGGTTTTCTCTTGGGCAAAACTACATGGACCTGCAGGTTTGAGGATGAATAACTGTCAGCTGAAATGTTTAGACCCTATGAATGCAGTGTTATTGGACAAGGTCACACCTCCCTGTACAAGGGAAAACTGTTAGGTAGGTTTTCTTTCTCACCATACCTCCCCTTCATGGGCCTAGGATATCTGGATAGTGAATCTATCTTTAGAAGTAAGACTGTCAATTTATTCCCTGTAGAGTTAAGAAGAATGTCCTCTTTCTAGAGAGCTCCACAGTGGATTGCATGTTAGCACAGAAAACAACAATCAGTCATAGCTGAGGTCTGGAGTTTCGTCAGATGTGTAATGGCATCATAGCACAGCCAGCTCAACGGCATGGGCAGTAATTAGTTTTGCCACTTGGACGATGAGTGATGAAGTACTGTATTCTGTCTGTGCTTCTCCCTGTTGACATCACAACTCAGTTATGAGCTCTGGAGGTGGGTGGGTATTAGGCAGCTTGGAGATATCAGGTTGACTGTGAGGCAGGGGTCTCCTCTTTCTTTTCACTGGTTGCCTGCCTTCTCTCCATCCCTCTTCAAAGCTCACCTTGCTGTGGGACGTTTCATGTCGTGGTGATCTTACCTGCCTAGAATGGACCAAGTGCCTGAGTCCTGGAGACCTGCCCAAGATCTCCTGGTGGGGGATGACAGAGAGGCAGAAGCCTTCCAGAATACTCTTCTGTTTTCCTTCACCTCTGATATGATACAGGATGGGTGCCACCAGACCCTCTTTCCTCCCCTTCATTCTGCTTGCCCCCCCTTCCACGGTTTTGTGACTCGTTCTCTCAGCCTCTCTTGCTCCTACCGCCTTCCCTCACCTCTCCAGCCCTCCTTTCTATACAGATTTAGCCTTCTTTCTTCTCACCCTCCAAGCACAGGACTTCTCTCTTGAAGTTTCCCCCCCTCCACCACCCTGTTCACACTCCCATATAGCTGTGCTTACGGACCCCTCTGCCACCAGTACCACCACCCGTGCAAGCTCTCGTTGCCTCCCGACGCACTTCAAGCTGCGATGAAGAACCCTTTAGGAAGATTGCTGGCAGCTTGCCTCTCATGCTTGTTTTCATGCCACAGCTAACAGCATGCCATGTCCTCTGGTGGTTAGGCCTTCCTCTGTTCATTGATTGCCAGGCTGGGTCCATCGGAGGGACCCAGAGCAGGTCCTGTATTTAACCTGCAATTGTGCATTACTCCAGGCCCTCCACAGCTGCAGAAGAGAAGCTAGCATTTGCTTCTCCAGGGATAACATTGCTGTTAATAAATTACCAAATTTAGCCTTAGTGAAGCTTCCCCAGATGATTTATTTTTTTCTCTATTTTTATGCAAGGGGTTGTATGTCCTGAGGCTGGGGATCACTCAGGGCCTGGTGCAAATCAGATCCCCGTCTGCATCTGCTTCCTCTGTGCACCAAGAGCCGGAGCCACATTCAGGTCACCCTCAGGGTTGGTGCAGATTCACTGGAGATATACTGAGGAGCTTTCTAACATCACTTAAAAAAAAAAAAAAAAAAAGTCTAAAACATTACCAGAGTAGTCTAAAATATCTAACAGAAGTCATGTCCCTATCTCCCAGGAGAACACAGTCAAAGTGCAGAGTCTTACCAATAAAGGCATGGAACCCAACTACTCCTAGACTGCTTGAGATGGCTCTAGGGATGACTTGCAAGATGAACTCATGACCCTACTGAGCTCAGTAAGAACTGACTGTGGACTTACAGAGGGCTAGAACGTCACCCAGAGGAAACTGATCTATAATAATTCACAGCATTGCTCATAATCATTCTGAAAGACATGATTAGTCTTCAGAGTGATGCTTTCCTATCACCTAACTGCTTTCTGAGGAAATTTTAACATGGCCAAATAAGCCCCATCAAATTGATTACCTTGTATTAGAGTAGTAGCAGTAATAATAATAATGATAATAATAATAATAACAGCAACAATTTAATTATTAACTTTCTTTATATTATGTTATAATATACCACAGTATATTTTACAGCAGCATTAATTAATGCTTATACTCATTATATCATATAATATTCCAGGACTGTTAAATTTCATATTTTTTTACTAAAAGTAAATGCTGACTTTTTTGTTCTGAAAGTTCCTTTCCCCAGATTTAACAGGGAAAAGTTCTTTAAAAATGGTAGTGAATAGAAGTTGTAAGATTTTAAATATTTGTAGCCTCAAGGACCAAAAAGTGGAAAAAAACCCTCTAACCTGCTATATTTGAACTGAAAGAAGATTGTTGTTAAAGAAATATCAAGCTAGGAAGAAAACCATATCTAATTAGTTGTTTGGAGGTCTGATTCAATGTATTTTGCATGCTTTGAGGTTGTGAGACTGAAACTCCTTCCTGTTTACCTGTAGGCTCATGGCGAGAAGCAAGTCTGGCAGCTGATAAAGACTGACAGTTGATTCAGTTTTTGTGTGTGAAAGTGAGAGGAGTCAAGGCAAAAAGAACTTGAGCCTCTGTCCTGCACCCCATGTTTAATGTAAAACTCCCCAATGCTTCTGCTTATGAAGCTATATAATAAATAGCCCTAGCCTGAGGAATCACCTGAATGTTTTGGCCTCCATTCAGAAAAGCAACTAAGCACCTGCTCACACTGAAGATCCTAAGTATTCCTGTTATTTTTGTGGTAGGTTATGAAAGAATGAACATCAAGTGCAGATTGCACTCCTCAGTATCCTGCAGGAGCATGCCTTGGCAGTTGTTATTGCTGGAAATAATCCCTGGGAAGTCAGTGGAAGAACTTACCATCAGGAGGATAGGGATTTTATTTATTTTTATAAAATCTTGATTGTATAAAAAAATATGCAAGCATACATATATATACATATATATAGCAAAAGAAACTCTTAATTGGCTGTTAAAACTCCCAGCTAAAGAACTTGGCACAGGTCTGTTGCTCTCCGTTGCCTATTTTCAGAAGTGCCTCGAATGACTAGCTCCGGTGTAGCCACCGGCAGGGCAAATGCCCAGAGCTAGGTGGGACAATCCCACCCCTGCCTCAGATAACCCAAACACGAGGCCTCCCCACAGGCTCAGAAGCTCTTGCAGGCTACAAGCTGATGGACCAGATCTGCTGTCACCCAGGGAGGGGAGGAAGCACCCCGCCGTGTCTGCCTGCCCACAGGAACCCCAACCCTGTCCGACGTGGGCGCAGCAGTGCTCTCCACGCAAGGCAGGGTGTCTGTGAGCAGTGCGTGGGGAAGGAGGTCCTAGCCACCCTTGGCTCAGTGATCCAGAATACTGGCCCAGGCTGTGGAAGACCCTTCAGTTTCAGGGTCGGTATTCCCACTTTCTGGTACAATCCCCTAAGTACGTGGCTGGGCTGTGTACCCTTTCCACTCCTTTTCGTGAAGCCGGACCACTCTGCTAAGAGGAATCCAAGATCTGAGTGACCAGGTCTAGTAAACAGTAATAATCTAAGAAGAAACCTCTTTCTGAAACCCACCATCCACTGAGAGCTGGACAACGCTGAGCTCTTTTCCTTGTTACTGGAGTCATTTATGTAGTTCATACAAACCTTCTCCCAGGGAAGAAACCTGTGGAGCGTAGGCTCGCTGACACATCGAGTCCTTCCCTGTCAGCTCAGCTTTTCTAAGAAGAATGGACTAGATCCCTACCTCTTCTATGTTCTGTGGAAGGACATGCTTTATGCCCAAAACAGGGATTTAGCTCTTCCTAAAGAGAAGGCTAAACCCAAACCATCACAGTTGGGTGCTCAAGCTATGAAACTGTGGTATAAAAGTGCATGTTGACAACATTTCTATTCTCTCTTCCTCTACTGACATCCCAAATCCTGGGAGAGACACTTCCCTCCCCCATAAGATTTTTAAAATAAAACACATGCGTGCCTAGGCAAAGAGACTTCAAGGCTGTGGAAAGGACAGGTATGCGCCTATGTCCAGAGCTTGTTTTCTAAATCATAAAAAAAGCAGGAGGGTGCAAAACACGGGCCTGTCTTCAGCATTATGGCCTGCATTGTTGGGAGTGTTTTCTTTCTCGGCCTGCTGTTTTGGTGGGGGGAATCCACTTTGGGGTGCCAATCCTCCCCGCACCTGCACGCAGAGAGCCTGGGTGCCACCTTGGGTTCAGCGTGGAGGTGCCTGCTCCCCAAAGGCAGCCTGCATGTGCTTTTGTGTGGAACTGGCCTCTACTAGCTTTCAGGCTCATGGGTTTATATAGTGCTTATGGTCAGAAATGATTCTCATTCAAACAGGTATGTTCAGCTACGGGAAACAACTTTAGGGACAGAAGGGGTTTTATGCACACAGGGCCTCACTCCTGATGTTCCATCATGCCTGACTTTCACCTAGAGACCCACTGTGCATGGAAGTATTATACACCATATATACATCAAAAGCCTGTCCGGGCTGCAAGGGATGCTGCTCCTTTAAATAACTTCTTTTTCTTGCTCCGTTGGACATTGCAACACTGAAGTCATGTTGATAATATTGCTCTAAGCTTCTTCTAAAAATGAGTTAGGCACTCAAGCCATTACTTAATCATTTCTACACGTCATCACGTAAACTTCACGCAACATTAAAATGTACTTGGTCACGGTTATGCAGAAGACAGCAAATTCTCTCTTCCATGGAGGTGTTCAGAGTCATCTCCTCTGGCCACCTGCATATTCTCAGTGTGAAACAGAAATCATGTGTAGGGCATGGCATTAGTTATCAAACTGCAGTGGAAGGGTAAGATGGATTTTTTTACTGTACTTGAAAAAGCGAAAAAATTAAAAGTGAGGAAGGAGTTAATCATTGCAAAATACACGGTCATTTCCTGAGCCCTGTGGTTGGATGAGTACAAACTTTCAACTATTTCTAATTCTTCTCTGTCATTGAAGAGGCTTTCAAGGTGCACTGTACATCCCAGACCAGGTAAGGAGTACAGTTTTTCACTTCTTGATTGTTTATTCAGAATTGTTTTTCAGTGGAGTCGGGCTCTCTCAAGACTGATTTGTTTTCCCTCCTATTATTTACATCTGAAGGGAGAGCAAAGTTCATTGCAATTCAAGAAGTACATGTGTGTCTTTGTGTCAGATGACTGTGAGTTGTAGAAATAAAGAAAGAACTGTATGGGTTAATAATAGAGCAATGGTAATGAAGAAGTTATGTTACACATAGTCAGAATTACTACAGCAAATATTGCAGTAAAAGAGAAAGAAAACACTTACTGCCAGTTTTAAGGAGTTCACTCTGCACAAATCACTATCAAAACAAAACACAGGGTTCTCAGGTGTACAGTTTGCTTTAGTAAGGAAAGTAGTAAAAATCATAGCGTGTCTTCAAGGATATTTTTAAAAGGAGAAAGAATGAGCTTCTACATATTGGGGGAGAAGAAAAAAAAAACAGTTAATTTTGGACCAGCTTTATTTGTAAATCTGGACCTGATATCTATCTTTAGCTATTGCAGAGTCATGTATTGTAGTCATCCTGAGACTGTTCCTGAGGTTTGCAGCAACCAAACACACACACCGTGGAACCAATTCATAAAACAATATAATTTCATCAGGGTCTTTTGATGCATAAAAACTGAACTCAGGCAGACGGGGACGAGCAGGAAGTCTGGTAACACAGTGCAATCTTGCATACTGCATTTGTTATCTCTTAATAGATGGGGAGAGAGACCATTTGCGTGAAGGGTTTTTTAATAGTTCAGAAGGAAGCATAAAATAGCCATCTGTAGAGCGGCTATTGTAACAATGTGCTGCCACCAAGTTGCCCTACAGAAAGTGAAATTGTATGTGCCGTGAGGATCCCTGAGTGAAGTCATACACTGGAGATTCAGGGTTTTGGCATTTGCTTATTTTTCAGTCTTTGCTTGTAATCAGTTTTAATGTTTGGACGTTGGCTCCTTGACTGTGCTCAGTGTTTGGTATAAACACTTTCTTGATTTTATACATAGTGGTCAGGAGAATCTAGCTAGGGTTTTCAAAAGCATTAATTTGATTCAGACACATAAGTCCCATCAATATTTGGAATTAATTCCTAAATCACCTCCACCTTACTTGTGAAATTGCTGCTATGGTAACACTCGGACCTCTGTAATGAATTTCACCTTTAAAAGACGAGGCACAGAAGTTTTGTCACTGTCATCTACAGATGGGGAACTTGGATGAATTCCTGTTGACACCAGACTTGTGCCATGGTTTTTGCAACTCCCCAGTGCAGGTGATCTGATCAAGAATCCCAGGTCTTCCCTTGCAAACAGCTGTGCATCAGTTTAGACACAGCCAGAGAGCATGTCTCCATTCTGCTAGGGAAGAGGCTATGGCATGTGCAGAAGCATTTGCATCAGCCTCAGTCTTCTCAGTTTGAATATCAGTGCTAAGAAATTTGCTGTTCCTTACAGCTCTGTATGGCCTTAACTGCTAAATATTTGCAGGCTGTGCTACAGCTTGATAGATGAAAGCTGGCTGAGGTGCGCCTACCCATCCTGCAGTCACTTTTCCCAGTTACTGCATAGGCACAGCTCAAGGGAAACTACTCAGCAGCTCTGTGTAGGAAGAGCAAACTGAACCCAGTCCTCCCCTGTTGACAACCAGCAGCTTACCCACTGCTTCTGCCTTCAGTTTTTAGCATCTCTTCAGGTACATTTATTGAGAATGTGCATTCACCTTCTGTCTTCCAGGGTGGGCTTAGGTTCAACTCAGATGCATCTGCCTGTGCAGACAATTTTGCTTGCACTGATGACTGTTAAGTGCAGAAAAGGCCAGCTCAGGTCATTTAAAATATTTGCTCTCAGTGCTCTCTTTCAGTGTGAGTATCTTTGGTGTGGGAAAACTCCTCAGCTCTCTGTCAGAGGGAGATGTAGCTGCGTAATAGGATGGAAAAGAAACGAACCCTAGAAAATCCATTATTTGTATGGTAAATGTGGTGTCCCCCAGTAACTGCTGTGTTCTGGTTGAATGGTTAGAGGGGAGAAACCCAGCAGACCACAGCCCAGCCTCAAAGAGTTATGCTGTGGTGGGCTCCCTCTGTTCTGCTCAAAACCAAAGAGACAACAAGACTATTTCTCAGTGTGTTAAACACTAGTGTGTGGTGTTTTGCACACCTCTCACCACCTAGAAAATTTACTGCATATTTACAGTTTCCAGATACAAAGTTGTTTTTAAGAGGAAGTCCAGGGGGCTTCACTGCTGACGACTGATGTCTGAAAAGCCTCCAAACTGACAGAAGGATGCTTTCTGTATCAGGCATATTTAGTGACACTGTTCTCATGTTTTTCACAGTGTGCAAAATGAGCTTGACAATGCAGCTCTCCTCTGAAAAATTACTTTATAGAAATGGGAGTATTTGGCCATTGACTACTGTCTCAAAAATTCCTGGATGAAATGAGGTCATTTTATAAGTAAATGTCTTTGAGACTGTTGTTTGGGCTTGTTTACTCTTGCTGCCAGCTCTCAAATGGGAAGGTCAAGTTGGTGCTCCTTCTGGGCTTACTATTTATACGCAGGAAACCTGAGAGTGACTCTTAGCCTGAGAGAGTTGTTACTTTAAAATAGGTTTAAAATGGGTAATATAATGCAATTTTTGTCTAAGCGTAGGTGCCAATCAATGAGAACTGTCCCACAGGGTTAATTTTCTGCATCCTTTGAATCTGGTAATGTCAGTTTGATCTGGTCTCTTTTCACATATTTTTGATCAGAAGCCTGCCATGCTTACTGAAATTTTCCATTGGTAGTCTTATTTTTCAGTGTTGTTGAGTATTTGACTAAAGCTAAATACTCAGACAGAGAAAGAGAGATCTGTACGCTCTTCATGCAACAGCTCAGTTTTCTGAAGTGATGAATTTTAGCTCTCATTGATATTGTAACAGAGATTCTGCCTTTTTGTGCACAGCCTCATGAAGGCCTGAGATTTGTTCAGGGTGGAGCAAGCCATCTATAAGCTTTTTCATTAAGAGCTGCTCATTTTTGTCACATTTTCACACTACTGCATGAGGAATTCAGGCTCAGCAGCTGGTCAACTGAAAATAATTTTACCCTCACATCCTCGTTCTCCCAAGTGCTGTTTAAGTCTTGAAATAACAACAGAAATTACACACCACGATGAAGCAGCTAGGGTTACTTATTATCACATACACTGCACCTGATTCAGATCTGCGAAAATAAGAAGGAAAAACTTCAAGTCACCAAAAAGAATGTGCTCTTATATCTTCTTTTCATCTTCAGATGTGGATATTACGCATCTTTAGTAATTCTGCACAGGGATATTTTACAGATAGTGAGCTCTGTTTTAAAGGTAAGAAAGGCCGTGCTATCAGTGCTTGTCACTGTTCAGCATTATCTTTAGATGTGCTCCTTTTGAAACATTTTTTTTGGTAACAACTGATTCTTAAAAGATTTTTTACTTTACTTACTCATAGAGGAAATCTGATCTGCTGCAGCACGGAAACATCAGCGGTGACCACGGCGAGACAAATTCCTTAGGGAGCTGCCTGTAAGTCTGATCAACATTTAAGATGAAAAGATTTGCATTTTTTTTGGCAGGATGTTACATGCAGAGTTTGTATGAGGCAATTGCTGAGGCAATAAGGGAATATTCAGGAACACAAACCTCTGCTTTGAGTAGGTGAGTAAGCACAAAGAAAGGGATCATCTTGTAAAGACTTTTTCTCCCCCCTGCCAACTTCTCAAAAAAATCAGTCTTTGAGACTCTCTAAATCATGCCCAATTGAAATCTTGGGTACACTGAGTGGACACCACTTCTGGGTTGCAGTGGTTCAGCAGCTGAAGGCTGGGAGAATAAGCCTTTGTACTTTTGTTACATCACCTTGTGAGAGTCAAGCAGTGCAGGGATCAAAGTAAAATCCTCCTGGAGCACAGGGGGTGGTGAGGGGTAGGGTAGGAAACTGTGGATAAACAGGAACAGAGATCATGAGGGAAAGAAAAAAAAAAAAGAAAACTGATAGTAGAAATCAAGGTAGGCAAGGACAGAGGGTGGTGTCTGGACAGCAGTTGTCAGGAGAAAGACAGACTTTGGGTGACATGCTACAGATGACATAAGTGGGTTTGTAGAGGACAGCAAGGCATGATCCTTTTGGCTCTTTTCCTCAAATATCCTGAGAAAAACCCAAAATATCCAGGTCTCAGTAACCTAACAATAAATCAAGGCAAAGCAGGTTTGTCCGCCCCCTCTAGTGGTCTAGACAGAAAATGCGTTTTTACCCAACTGATTTTGCACTATATCCATTTGCTGGGACCAGTCATACCATGGTCTTTAGCTTATTTGACACATCTGTAGTAATTGTTCTCAGCCTCTGAAACATGATGGCTACATCCAAACTCCTTTTCTGGAATGGTCTTCGGTCTGTGATAATTCCTAAACTACACAAGACGATTGTGTGGGCCCCACAGCTGTTTGAGGAAGCGTTAGTTGATGTGAAACAAAACTGTGCCAGAACTGTAACAGTCCAAGGAATTGAATTTCATGGCCGGAGCCCAGGTTCTGACAGCGCTTAATTTACTGATATTAACATACCTTTCATGTAGTAACATCTCCCTTGTGCGTGTGGTATAGTCCTCAGTCTCCTAAGTGTAAATATCGCAGAACAATACTTCAGCACAAAAAAATCAACCAACAGCCCATTCAGAGGGAGACCATTGCCTGTCTCCTTGGTCAGCTCCCATCTACTTGCTGCTGGAGGACACATGCCGACTGAGAGGTAGGACTGCAGGAAAAGGCGAAGTAGCCTTGAGATTTTAGTGACTGAGTGATGTCCTGGGAAATAAGATTCTGCCACTGATTCTGCCTGAAAGTCTTGTGTGATGCCGAGAGAAGGTCACCTCCATAAGAAAAGGCTACATGAGAAATGCCTGAAATGGAGCTGGAGTGGAACCTCAGAGCCTTTGCTCCAAGCGGGGACAATACTTATACGGTCTCTGACTACTGGGGAATTATACCCTAGTAGCTGCTTCTCATTACATAAATAGTGTAACTCCTATAGAGCACTATCCTAGGAGAAAGAGCATGCATGTACAACACTCTCTTCTGGAAGTGTTTAAAGCCTTATCCACCTGCTTCCTTGCTATCTAGTTAGTATGCTAGGTACCACAGTCTAGGCTGATTTTCACCTGGCCAGTTGAAGCTACTAGAGCAAGCAGTGGTCATCGGACAAAAGAGGAATAGAAGCCTGAAATATTGTTCAGCTAGAAGGCAAGAGACCTCTTCTCTAGTCTCATCTTCAAAGACACTGTTTCACATTAAGTAGTCTCTGGATAACCCCAAAGACCAATCTAAAGAGTAGGCCATGCCCACTACCTTACAGCTGATGACTGCCCCTGTCACTAGGCTAGAGGATCTCTTGCCCTCCTGCATGGCATTTTCATCGTTCCCTGAGTTGCCGTATCTAGAATTTTTTATTGCACATCTTTGATGTGAAATATGGGCAGTACCCAGAAGCTTTGTGGCTAAAACAATCTCCTGCTCAGATAAAAAGTCCCATGGTCAGACTTGGAAGGCAACCTGAGGCACCTATTTCCTGACCTTAACTGCCACTCTATCATTTAGATAGGGAAGTGTTTCTCTTCTATCAGCCATCTCAAAAGATTGTAGCAAATCGTATTCAGTTCCGAGAAAGGCAACAAGGAATTTTCATAAAGCAAACCTTCACAAAGAGATTCAAACTCAGGTCTCCCAGTAGGCTTCCTGCAGGAGAGAGGATATTCTGTGAGACTCACTAAGATTTATTTTTTTTTCCAAGTTTTCATGTTTCCAAGGCTCATCCATGTCTCCCCCAGATGACCTATGTGTGTGTCCTGTGAAGAGCACTGACTTCACACTGTCCCTCATCATTTTGCTGACTATTTCAGATCCCATTCTGAGACACCCAAGTCTTCATTGGTGCCTTATTCCTTCCACTCATGTGATGCTTATCTTACCGAGCCTGAAATCCTGTTGCAGATCTGGCTTCAAGGGGTTAAGCTTTCAGAAACAGGCACTAACTCTGAGTTCCTCATTTTCAAATGCATATTAAAAGACACCTGGGTCTGACTTGCAGAAGTATTGAGTACTCACAGATCCAGATATAGTCAATAGAAATGTGGCTTCGAAACAAGTAACATTTTATGCAATGACAAATACTCTTAGAAATCAGGTCCTAGGTAACTCAGGGCCTCCATTCCCCACTCCTGTTTGTCATATGGGGTTAAGTTATCTTTATATTACAGGAAAGCTGCAAAGATGAAGTTTGCAGGTCTTTTTGAAGCACTTTGATGCTGCAACACTGGATGCCACAAAAATGCCCACAAATAAATTATTTATTTGGTATTGAGGACGAGAGTTTGAACAGTGCACTGTACATAGGGCATGGTGTCACTCATTGATCAATGAGGAGAAAAAAGTCTAAACCTTTCTGATGGGGTATTTTGCCTTTGAAAAATTGTTGGGAGAGCATTGGTTCCAACAAAGATCAGATGGGAATGGGCAGACTTAAACTTGTCCATTTTCAGGCAGCTGACTTATAAAGTTTCTTGGCAGCTGGGTTGGTTGTCTCTCTTCAGCTTGTTGACTTCCAGCTTTCCACTACTGGGATCATTAAACTGCAAAGCAACCAGGGGAACCTGCTGATGAAATTCTGGCTCCCAGGCTCTTCAGCTGTTTATTTATCCAGGCTGCTAGAACAGTAACCTTCCTGAAGTATATGAGCATTGTGAGTATTTTGACAAGGAAGGAAAAGACAAGACATTTTCATAAGGGACACCCTCCGCTCAATCCCAGGTCTCTGGAAAGCTGATGATCTCAGTTAAACAGTGCTTAAATAATCAATGCACTGATCAGAGCTGTTGTGGTCATTAGAAATGCATGGTTAGTCAAAAAGGTTGCAGCTTATCCAGGATTGCAGCTAAGAAAAGTTGGCTGCTAGCACAAGAATGTGAGACTGAGTTAAGTAGGAGCAAGACCAAGCTCTTAAGCTGAACTAAACAGCGCTTTACACATTGCATACAACATCTCTTTATCAGCCCAATTTGTGACCTAAATCTGTACAGGCTTGTCAAAAAAAAAATATCTGCAAGCCACTGTTTCACATGAAGATGTGCCTTCTCAGTCACACATTTCTTCCATGGGGCATAACGATATTAACACCTCTAAGAGGATGAAGAATTAAGTTTTCTGTGAGCTGTCTGGCTTTTGTGATCTCAGCAATCCTCTGCTGTGTAGATACATAACCTTAAAATCTGGACTTGGTGGATAAAATAGCCTCAGAAACTCATCACTGAGATGTTTCAGGTGCTAAATGTTTGAGATTTTAAATCATATATACTTGTGAAAGCTTTTTTTCAGCTTTTTAAATGAAAAGTTTCCCATCAACAACACTTCTCTGAGAAACTAACAGGACATGGCACAGTTCTAAATGTTATGGTAGGCTGGTCGGTTTGCTAGACTCACATGTCTATTCCTGCTAATGTTTGTGGGCTCACTTCCATGAGAACATGATTACCCCCACATGAGAGAGGCAGAGATCATAACTGATCTGGATATCAGTAATATAGACGTTTGATTTACCCTCAGCTTGAAAAGGTTTACACTGAGTGGGATGCATTCTCAGCACCTCCCAGTTTTTGCTGTTGCAGTGTGAACTTTGAAATCTCTCATAACAGTGCCTGGGGATCACTTTGTTATACGGGGAGCACGGGTGTGTGGAAATGTTGTTCCTATGACAGTCAGCAGTGGGAAAGCAGAGAGAGACAGATGGTACTACAGAAATATTGGCTCCTTTTAGTTATGCTTACTCCTCCGGCTGCACTAACTGATCTCTGGGACGAGTGTAGCCATGAGTGCAGAAGGAAAAATAGGGGGTCAGAAACATCTTTGCCTACTTCTAAGGAGCATGGGGGCATCTGGGGATTTGACTTCCTCGTGTTTGAAATAAAATTGTAGACGTGCAGCTTGCCTTTGCCAACAATTTCACAGTTCAGACTAACATGCTAAAGGAGCTGTAAATGCTCTTCCACCCCCACCTGCCTCAGCAAAGAAAAAAGTTCTCACCTTCCATATATCAACAGCTTAAACTTTTCTAATAAATCTAAAAAAAAAAAAAAAAAAAAAAAAAAGAAAGAAATAAGTAGGAGTTTGTTCACAAAGGATTGTCCAGAAATTCGAAGTGTGACAGGCATTAGAAATAAAGTCATGATTCTATATCAAAGATACTTTTCTGTCTGGCTGTGGGCCCAAGAGAGCTGAATGCTAAATGCTCTCACTTCCTGTGGCCTTCAATGGAAGATAAATGTATTCACAGGGTCTCGGCCCATTCATAAATTGGGTCTGCCATGTGTTGAGTCAAGCAGAATTTGGTGTAGGATTTGCAGACTGGTTTCTGTAATCACATGAAATTCTCTGCCATTTATTGTGAGCTACAGTTTTATTGCTTTGATCCCAGGCTGGAAAAGGGATGGGTGAGAGACATTTTGAGCAGTTAGCATGAGACTCACACTGACATTGCTCCAATAGGGGAGATAAAACCAGCAAGCTCTCCAGTGGCTTTGTGGGCAGTAGAAAACTCCAGCCTATTTTCTTCCTAGAGTTCTGTGACTTACAGTGGATTGCTATATAATGAAGATTGTAGTTATTGTAATTTCACATGTCTACAACCTTCTCCTGAGTTATTATGGCCATGACACACAGAAAACCATATGCAGTTGCAGAAATCAAGGAAAGGAACTATAAAATATTAGGTGGAATTATAAATACCTGAATGCCTGGTTTTCATCCATTTGGCCAAATAATTTTATGCAATGCACAGAAAATTAGTTAATCTTGGGACCCACACCCTTTATCAGATTTGGCTAGACTTAACCAACACGTTCACATTTATTGAGGGAGAGAGGGGAAACAGAGACCTGTAAATACAGACTAAAGATCCTTTTCAAACAGAGCTGAACAGCAACTGGGCTCAGTAGTTGTTTGGGTTTTGTTTATATTCTTGCTTCTAAATTAATGATAAAGTGAGCAAGTGGAAGTGTTTGATGCCTGATCTGGCTGACAGCCACCCAGGACTCCCATGTTCCCCTCAGGATTCTCCCACATCACATCCTTCCCCTGCGGATGAGGCCACATGCCCACGCACAAACCTCATTTGTCAGGTATGAAGGTGTACTGAAAAAGCAGAGTCTTTCACTTTTAAGTCCAAGCAGCCTACGCTGTTTCTGTTAACAGTATTTATTGACTGGCTCATAGGAAGCATTGCCTGTCCCACCATCTCAGAGCACGTTGCCCTCACGGTGGCCCAGAGTCCTGGCCCTCGCCTTCCATTTCTGCAGCCCTGAGCTGTTGTATCCTTTTACTTTCTTCTGGGAAGAAGACAAACATCCAATCCTCCCCTGAAATACATTCAGTCTGCACTTTCTGTGTCAACATGAACGCCCCAATGCTCTCCTCCAGAGGAGGAGAAATGTGTTTTTGCGGGTGCTTATTTCCTTTTTCGAGATCTGAGCTGAAGCTTAGTTCTCTTGATGTGTGGCCATCAAAGGCAGTGAAGATAGACAACTTGCAGTGATGCTGGTAAATAAAAATCTTACAGACTGTTACGTGCTGCCTTACTGCTTCATGCATGCGTGTTAAATGGGATTATATAAAAGCAGAAAGTTAATCTTGCATCAGTTAAACTACGAAATAGCTCTGAAGATCAAGATGAAATACCTTCATTTTTAAAAATTTATTTTATATTAATTTTATTCGCTTTTATTTCACTTATGAAATAAATTAATCCTAAAACATCCCTAATCTAAGTCATTTTCCATGACCACTCGCACTGGTGAAACGCAGTGCTGTAGATTTTGGAAATGTCCTGCATACAGACAGTTGCAAATGACAGCAGTTTTTTGAACACACATCGTCAAGAAACAATGATTTTCGTGTTAGAACTTTTTTTTCTATCTTAGGGCTACAAAGATCGTACTACTGCTGAATCACTACTGCCAGTGATGACAAATGACAAGAGTATTGCCCCAGTGGAAAGACATCCAAATATATTATAATTTTAAAAGCCAGCATAGCATACTTAGGTCAAAATTACAGAATTACAGAGTATGTAAATGTCCTTTGCAAATCAGTTTGTATTTGTCTTTTTGAAACCGATAGTCCAGCTGTCCTTAGTGTTAAACACCAAGGTAAAGTTCTTTACTGCACTTGCTCTGGTTTATATACTTCTAATCTAACAGCTCTCAAATTACATAACTGGGTAGAAAAAATGGCACTACCCTACACTGGAAGGGTTTGGAAACCAACCTCTCTTCTCATTATTAGAAATAGTCCCTTCACTTCATGTTTCAGGCTGGGTGGGTGGGAAACCTGTGCTTGTTCTTTGGCTAAAACTGCAGAGTTTCCATTTCTGAAGTTCCCATTATAGTTTCCACTAGTTCTTAATGCCCCTACCCCCAGAAAAAAAACACCTAGTTCTGGGCTCTTATGTGTTGTTTAAAATGTTATCAAGTCTTTTTAAAATTTTTGTATGCTTAAAAGCAGATTGTTTCAACCGCTACTTCCTTATTTCTCCTCCCTTCCTCTTAACTCTTTAATATACAATCTCTTAGACACTTATGCTTGTCTTCTTCATTTACAGTCTATGAATAAGTTGATCTATGCATCTTCCCAGCCAACTGGGAGTATGAAAGCCAAGCAAATTTTCAGGTAGCTTCTCATCAGAAAAGCAAGATGGGGTTGAAGAAGTGACAACAGTTTGGTAAGAATGGGGTTTTGTCAGGCCACTGAGACCACTGAGTATCTTACGGTCTTCTCATTTATCCATTTTCTAATAATGTTTTGTTTTGACAAGCCTACATTAAACATTGCACTATCTAAACTTGCAGGTTTGCTTGCTATCTGCCACCACACAACACTAGAAATGACCTGATCATCTGCTACTTCCCTCAAACCATGTCGTTCACAGTAATGAATCCACATACCCACTGATACGAGTCAGTCATACCAGCAACCATAGCATGTTGCAAGAGATAGCTGAGGCCTCATGCTGGGGCAAGGAGGTGTGTGTAAACTACCCCATTATGTCCTGTGAGCTTAGTTCTGTTAAACAAGCATGAGGTTAGTCTGCATCCTAAGGCCAACCTGCCCCACGTTGTAATTCCATGAGCCCAGTGTTCATTTTTACTGAAGTCCTATTCTCTGGCCGTAAAGTGGGGAAAACAGATTCTTAGGTATCTCCTTGTGTAATTTCCCTCTCAGTAGGTAAATGTAGTCAGTGTAATTATAGGATCTCTATATTGTTCTTCTCCCATCCCAGCCTGGGGCAGAGGGGATATGTAAAGGACCTCAGCAAGAAGCAGAGCAAGTACATACCTATACTCTGTGAGCCAAGGCTCATCATGCTTCTCTAAACAACCGAGACAATCAGGCGTGTTTTTGCAGCAAGAAACAGTCCTACTTCACTCCTGCCTGTCAGGAGGGAAAGAAACATGAGCACTTGGCCCAGTGATTTGCGGTGAAGGCACCATACCACCTGCCACACTCACTCTCATCTACTCTGGCGTGTCCCTTATATCCACTCTACTCTGTCTGGGAGGATGCTACAAAAATGCTGAGTTGATCCGGGTAGTTTTTCCCTGCTGAATGCCTTTCCTAGTCTGCGGGACAGGATATATGGACAGGATACCTGGTCTCATGGAACTCGACAAGGGAAAAGTTACAATTTCTGTGGACATACAAAGATCTGGGAGGATGGGTTAGCTGATTGAGTGGCATTACAGGATGGAATACCTACCAGGATTTTTAACCTAGAGAAAAGCCATTGGGACTGCCACAAAATCAGGAAAGGCAAGTATTTTTACTTGACTGCCACTGAGGCTTACAAGAGACAGTGCAGGCAATCCAACCGGGGTGGGACTATGCTCACCGAGGGATGATTTAGCTGCACAAGCCAAAGAGAATCTTCTGCAAAAGTGGCCCAATCCCAGAAGGCAGAGCAAGGCAAATGTGCACTTGTGGCTCACATCATACGCCCAATATCAGCCCTCTGCATGTTCATGTGCCTGACCTACTTGTTGGAATTCACCCCAACTTCACACTGAAGGAGAAAAGACTTTCTCACAGGTGGAATTTCCAATACCCAACTGCAATGTTAGCATTAAAAGGCTTTTGGAGCCTAACTCTCTTGTCATCACTGTAAGTGCTAAAACTCAAGCCTGAGGTCTTCAACAGGTCACTTTTTGCTAAGGGTGCCCAACATCAAAACTGTAAATCCCAGTCGCTAAGTGCTCAGAAACATGTGTATCCTAACACCCAACTCAGACTGAAGGCCTAAAATGATCCACAGTTATAGAGTGGGGAAAGACTACCCCTTGTGCTGTATCAGTTTGAGGACCCAGTATACAATAAATGGCCAGTGCACTTATTGGAGACTTACTGGAGTAGATCCTTCATGGGATACATCCAGAATAAAGGTGGCAACGCTATGTGCCCTTGAATCCTGTGGATACTTAGAGCACTCTCTACAGACTAGGGAGGTTTGCCTGATATGATTGGAACCAACCGTTCTTGCAGAAATGCATTAGCCACCATGTTAAAGTTATTTATCTACAAATTATTTTTATTCCGGCACATGAATTTGTTCCAGTTTGCATGGTGCAACTGGGATATAAAGTCCACGGGTGAGAAAAAAATACTGCAGTGTTTTGCTCAGTACCTGAGAGGAGAAGACATCCAAACTGCGGTTCCTATTTCAATGTAATTCGTATGTTTTATATGAAGTGATTAATAGAAATCTTATTGCTTGGTGGGATGTGTAGATTCAAGTCTCATCACCCTGAAGAAAGAAATTAATTCATATCTCCCACATCCCCAAATGAGTGACATTTGAGAAATGTGAACCGAACCGTTGTTGCTGGTTTGGATCCTTCCATTTTTTGTGATGTAAGACTGATTCAAGCACCTTGCTCCAGGAGAAATTTCAGTCATAACACACGGTTGTAGCTAGAGGTTTCCTTGCAACCCTCAGCAAAATGTTGAAAGCTGCAGCTTTCTCGGGGACCCATACATTTCCTGTTGTCTAGCCTGCTTGCTGCTCAGTGTCCTGGTTTTCTGGATCTCATTCCAAAATGCCTGATTGTGAGCTGACAAGGTATGAGACATCTCAGCTGGGGCCACGGAGACTCCTGGGCAGGCAGGTGCCTCTGTCTACTTGTGTTTCTACAACCCAGGCTAGAAAAGGTGTGGATGGTGGGTGCTCTATGCTCTATCCGTGGATTTGCAGTCTGTATTAACTGCTTCTAAGTGCATGTTGCTTTCCTGTGTCTCTATTTTTTTTTTTTTTTTGTGATTGAGCAAAACTAACCGCAATCTCTTTTCACACCCAGTTTCTAAAGAAACTCTTTTAACTGGCTTTCAGCTGAACTGTAGCTTTCTTGAGCTAGTGACGAGAACAAGACATTAGAAATACAGTGTAAAAAGCCATACCCTGTCTTTTGTAATATGAGGTATTCAGTCATTTGAGAACCAGAAAATCCTATTGTACCTTGCAGTTTGGGAAGATCTTCCCCCTTCAAATATTATTGCATTATTATAATTTGCACAGGAAAAGGATGAATACTTCCCGTAAAACTGGATACAGAACATATCTAAGTTTTTCAGGCATTCTAGAAAAGACTGGAAAATCTTCTAAGTAAACGAGTAGTGTACTACAGCAACAGTTTTAATCTTAGAGTATACATGCAAATATGTTTTTTTACAGATTGCTTCTTCAGTTAAATAAAAGCAGGTGCTGCAATGGCAGTTTCAAAAGCTGCTTGTTCTCCTTATGACACTTGGAGCATTTACAAAGCAAGGCATTAATGCTTCTTAAACCATCACCAGCAAGGTAACTGAGCAGTGCAAATATATTGGTATTAGTAAAAAAAAAAAAAAAAAAAAAAAAAAATCAGAGTAGGAAAGTGACTTTTTAAAAGGCATCAAGCAAGTGAAGGAGAGAGCACTGGAACTGAAGATGATCTGATTATTATCCCCAAGGATACACGTACAGTCTTGTTAACTTTCAGAAGAGTCTTGCTTCTTAATCATCTACCTCTTGTGATTGCAAGGAGCCTTGTTCACAAAAAGCTACAGAGAAGTCAATAACTTTTTCAACCCCTTATTGACATAGTTGTCTGTAGGAGTGATAATGAGGAAGCTCTTTGGTGTTGTCCTCAGCCCACTTCAACTCAGCATTTTGAAAGTGCTCTTTAAGTGCCAGAGCCATCCTTTTACACAGGCATGTTCGGTAGGGTGGATCCTTACTCTAATCTAGAAAGTCATGTTTTGGTTATCACGCCACTGCAGCAAGGTCACTGACGTACTGATTCCCTGGTCAAAGTATCGTTGATACTTTTTCATTTACAGTTTCGGCAGCAGGAGGTATGCTTGCTTTTGCTTTTCCAGAAAGGAGCACAGAAACCAGTTAGGAATGATACTGCTAAGGTCTATTCCTCAAAAATACTTGGATGCCTAATTCCTTTTGAGGACATGGGCCAAAATTAGCATCTTTCCCAAATACTGTTTTGCTGCAGGTGCTTAAAGAAACAAGAAAAAAAGGGCAATAATCAAGAGGCAAACAAAAGCCATTTAACTAAATGTAAACTAGCTAGCTCTCACTCTTTGCTTCTGTCAGATTATGTATTTAAGTATAGCTAGTAAGAACAAAGCAAGAATGAAGTATGATCCTAATATTCCTGAAGACCGCAAAAGTTATTATTTCATCTGTAATTAAAATACAAATGGCAATGGCAAGGAGCTGGCATGTGATGTGACCTAAAAATAGGGGACTAGTATAAACACATGTTCAGCCTAAAAAGTAGTCTGTCTTGTGATTAGTGTGACTATTTCAAAATATTTCCTGTTGTGATTTTATAACCTTTAAAAAGAAAAGATAGGTTTTAGATGATGAATTGCTAAGTGTCTTCTCTTTCTACTAGTCTTGGTTAAAAAATGATAGATTTCTTTTAGAATAAAGAACCAGGTAAACAACACTAAATAACAAGCCTTGGGTTTTTGTGTAGGGTAGTTTATAACATGGTGTACCAGAATGCCCTAAAAACTACCAGTTGATGTAGTGCAAACACAAATAACTCTTCTATGTAGTTTATAGTATGTCTCAGAGGTAACGCCTATAGAGATGGTGTGGGAGGTTTGCACTGAGGAAACCGCTTTTGAAATTTGTTTTTTTGTGTGTGTAATTTTTTTTTTTAAAGAGTTTCAGAGAATTGAAAGAGGAACCTGCACCGAGCGGCTAGTCTTAACTTGTTCAAAACTTTCCCCACATCATGTGATGAAATGTCTTTTATCACTGCACTCTTATCTTTGGTATCTGAGATGTTAGAGCACTATGACTTTGCTCACCTGCATGGCTGGCTGGATGGTGCTAGAAGGGGTTGTGAGAATTTTTTTGCCTTTCCAGGCTCTTTTATGAAAATGTAATGCTCAACCTTTACTAAACCCCAATCCTCAAGAAAACAGATTCATTTTAAAGCTTAAAACTCTGCTTTCCTTTTCTTCCTCTCTCCTTTTCTGTATATGACAATGCAGCAGAGCAAGAGACAGAGAAACACATGTAGAAAAAGAAAGGATACTAAAGCTGCTCTCCTGGAATTTATATTGCCTTTATGTTTTCCTAAAGACATGCTGAGATGTTGAAATAAAAAGTACTTGGGTCTGTTTCCTTCAGTTCCCTGAATGAGTTTCAAAACACTGGCTCTTTCC